AGGAGACTGGTTTTTAATGGACTGCTCCATACCTGGCTTAGTCAGTGACAGAAGCAGACCCAGTCCTTTGTCCCAGCTTCCCAAAGAAATCCATTAGCCAGGCCCACATAGCTTCAGTTCGGATGTGGGGTCAGAGGCTTCTATTCCGGTGATTGTGGTCTAAGAATAGAGCTCCCAAACACAAGGCAAATGGATTCACAAGAATTGTGTTCATCTACTATCCACGTTACCATCTGAGGACTATTTAAAGCACAAGGCCAGAAAGCCCCTCTCTGAATGGGAGGACCAACAAGGGGAAACAGGCAGGGCATGTTTTTAATATAGTTCTGCTACAACTTGCAAATATAGTGCAACTTGGAGAGCCCCAGTCTGGATGCCAGGATCTTGAGATACACATCCATCCCCAACAGCTCAGATATCTCACTTGGCTACCTGTCAACCATTGAGCAAGGAATGTCAAGTCCATTTGACAAATGGGCAAGTGGGAAGCATGGAAGGACAGATTTACACAGTGCTAAGTCCACTGCTAATAACAGAAACAGCTAAAGCTGATTGTGTGCTTCTACATGCCAGGCCCTTACTAGACATGTCACCTTCACTCACTCTAACTTCACAACCTCCCTATAAGATAGCTAGTTATTTTGTGCACATTTAGCAACAAGAACACTGAGGTTCTGGGAGATAAAGCAATTTACTCTCATGATAAAACTTACATGTGGCACAGCTAGGATTTGAACCCAGTTCTTTCTAACACTAGCACTTATTTGGGGTTTTGTTTGTACCATGCTGCTTCTCTTGGTTTCTTTCTGCTAACTGCTAACTTAAAAATGCAAGGAACCTATAATCCAAAACCATACTCTAAGCATTAAATCTCATAACTTGTAACTTATGTCATCGATTTGGTGAGCAAAGAGAATTAAGTAGTCCAGGGCCAAAAGCAGAGTCTTCAGGAACAGACACCAGATCACAACTCCAATTAGGGGGACTAAACAGATAAATTCCACATCAAAGGAACCTTTACTAGGAAAAAATCACGTGACCTTCAGCCTCTGATACGCCTTCATCTCATCATTTCTCCTGTCCTGACACCCCTACACTTCAACTAGCTTCAAATATTCTGTATCCACACCAAAGACTGATTCAGCACTTTGCAATCACAAACCCAAAGGCAAGTTCCCTGCGACTGCATCAGTATGAAGATTTTATTTTGCAAAGCTACTTCCCTGACCAGCCTCCCTGCTGCAGACCTCTTCAAATTTCCCAGATTAAGAACACATTCGAAGTGACAACTCCAGGCCTTACCACGTTCAACAAACTGGTCACAATGTGTCAGATGAAGGGCAAGATCAATTCTCTGGGTGTCTTGCATCTATATCTCTGACAGAAAGTTACCATCATCAAAATCTTTAGCATCACTCAAATCATCAACAATAGTTAAAAGAAAAATAACACACACACACACACACACACACAAATTAGTAGCAAAGATAAGCCAGTACAAGTAAGCGTGACACAGTCCAAACCAAGCTGGGCACATTCTCACAATCCCTTGGAAATGACTTTACCTGAAGGCTATGTGACTCATTTAACTCGGCACTAAGATGGAAAGGTCTAGGGCTCTACAGAAGTCCCTGGTAGGGAAGTGACTGAGGCCTGTGCTGGAGAAGGACATGCTGTGTCGCTGGGTTCTGGGCCTGGGTGGTCGGTGGGTGGGATGGAGGCAACCTTGGAGCAGCACTTGGAAGACACAATGAAGAATCCCTCCATTGTTGGAGTCCTGTACAAGATTCACAAGGACTTAATCTGGGTTGCCGTGGGACCCTGTCAGACGAGCATGCTGGAGTGGTATCTGTTCTAGCCCAGCAAGCAGCTAAGCTAACCTCTGACCCCACTGATATTCCTGTGGTGTGTCTAGAATCAGATAATGGGAACATTATTATCCAGAAACATGATGGCATCACAGTGGCAGTGCACAAAATGGCCTCTTGACGCCTCATATCTGTTCTTCAGCAGCCTATCACAGGAACTCGATCCTACCTATGTTAATTACCTTATAGAACTACTAAAGTTCCAGAAGTTAGGCCATTCATTTAATGTGCATTGGGCACTTTTCTATTTATTTAAGAGTCAGTTGCTTTCTAATGTTCTATGGACCAACTATCAAGATATGAGTAAGAAAGGATCATGTTTTGAAGCAGCAGGTCCAAGTCACTTTGTATATAGAATTTTGCTATATTCAATAAATCTGTCTGGAGGAAAAAAAAAAAAAAAAAGAAGTCCCTGGTAGGAAAACTTCATGCTTTTCCAAGCCAGGTCTCCAGGGCCTGGCTCTGACATGGTTACCACTTCCACAGAGAAGTTGACAACAACTGGTCACATTCTTTTCTCCACCCTATTCCTCCCCATCAGGTGAAGACAGCTAACTGCTATGTATCTTATCTAAGGAGGCTAACTTGCAGCAATAATGTAGCATGACAAATGAGAAGTATAGGGATCTTGAATAGTCAAAGTACACAGTTAACATGAAAAAGAACAGGCTGTTCACCAAGTTAACAGTTTTCAAGTCCACAGCCAGTATTTTCCCCATATTCATTTCTCATAAATCTATATCAAATCAGGAGAGATGGTAGAAATGAGGCTCTAAGTTTCCATGCACCAATCTTAAGGGAAAAAAAAATGTCTTTTCTTCTAAGAGGGGCGCCCTAGCTATAACCTCTTTTGAGGTGGTTGAATGCGCTTGGTGTTCTGAGTAAAAAAGAAAAAAAAAAAATTTTTTTTTCCCTATTTAGAGAAATGGAGAAATTAAATGGTTTATATACCGACCCGATTTCTTTCATAGAGTTCGCTTGGAGGTAATACCACAATTTCAGGCCCTCTTTGAAGAAATACCATCTCATGTTGAGTTCTAATTAAAGATATGCTGTTTTGCCAGGCGCGGTGGCTCACACCTGTAATCCCAGCACTTTGGGAGGTCGAGGCGGGTGGATCACCTGAGGTCAGGAGTTTGAGACCAGCCTGGCCAACCTGGTGAAACCCTGTCTCTACTAAAAATACAGAAATTAGCTGGGCATGGTGCAGTTGCCTGTAATCCCAGCTACTCGGGAGGCTGAGGCAGGAAAATCACTTGAACCTGGGAGGCAGAGGTTGCAGTGAGCTGAGATTGCACTATTGCACTCCAGCCTGGGTGACGGAGCATGACTCCATCTTAAAAAAAAAAAAAGTTTTAAAACATTAACCTGTAAGTTGTCCATATTAAATAATAAGCATTTAGGGTAGGGGCTGGATGTATAATACTAAGTCAAGGAAGTTCAAAATACAGATCATTCAGTAACAGTGGTAGTGACAAAAGAGATCCTGGCTAATGCTACCACCATCCTAATCCTGTGGGAAAATGCCACCTGGAAACATTTCTATCAACCACACCATCAGATAGGGAAGCTGAGTAATTGGTCCAATTGCCAGACATTGACATATTCAAATCAATTAATCACTAGTCACCAAGTGACTAAAAAATGGACGACACTCCACTGTGTGCTACAGTATACATCAGGCATTTCTAGTCCTAGTCCTGCTCTTTAACTTTCAAGGGCAAATCAGGTTCAACCTTAATGTGAAAAAATAAACAATAAATCAGAGAGCATTTATTATAAATTGCCAAAGAAGGTTTAGTCCAGTCAGCCAAGTTACCCCACTATTTCTCAAATGCTAAACCCACTCAGAATGAGAGGAGCTGCTCCATCAACCAAATAGATCCAGATTGTCTCTACAGAAGAAGCAGCACAGCTGAGAAGCCCACTGATCAAGACTACATCTGCCCTTTCTCTCTAGATTCCTTAGAAAAGAGAGCCACCCCCTCCTCCATCTCAGTCTGAGATGCACCAAGGATGAAACTTTCTACAAAAGAGGAAGGTCTGAAGGACACTAGCAACTGTCATGAGTTTCCCTATGACTCAAAGCCTCTTGGCTCTAGCATAGGGCAGCCGTAGTCCACATTCAGAAGCATCTTGTTTCCTGTTCTCTAGGTTAGAGCCCCAGCTAAGAATAGCACCCCATTCATGCTGCTGTGTACACATCCTTTTCACTTGCTATTTTCTCTCACACACACATGAAGCCTGGGTCTTGTACATTCTCCAAGGTAAATGCAAATATTTATAAATGGGCACAGAGCAGCAGTTTTATTCCCTGTCCAGTCTACAAAAAGGCACTACCTAGAAGAATTCCACGCCAGAGCTGAGTGACACTGGAATAACTGGGCCACAGGCTCCCTCTCTGAAGTTCCAAATAGAGACTCACACTCAGAAATAGTAACCTAGTGGAAATACATATAGGATGCCCAGTACCTGTGCAGAACTTCACCTCTGTGCATGACCTAAACTTAAAGAAAACCAGAAGTTTGTAAAATTGATCTCTTTTTATTATATGAAATCATGTGAAATTATCAACAAAATGGTAATGTCATATGATTTAACCTAATAGAATCCTAAAAAGCAAATCAAGCATTTAGTTAACAAACAAGAAGGCAAAATCCATTGTTTCACAGGTGGCTTCACTATGGAACACCTTGTAAGACAGGCCTAGCATTATTAAGAAACATCTATTCGCTTGTGGTTCCATGTCTATATCCATATTTGTTCCTGGCCCTCAAGAGACATGGTACAGGCAAGTGAACAGGCAAATACCACACAGTATGGAAACTACTACTCTACAGAGAAGTGCAAAATAAGAACCCTATATATAACTCAATTATAACATTTCTCAATGACACTGAATTTTGCCTGGTTGTTTGTATGTGAGCCTCACTAGTGAGATGATGCACGCTCAGAGGCAGGAACCCTATTTATTTGTCTTTAAATCCCCAGCATACAGCACAGTTCTTGCACACAGTCAATGCTAAATGATGTTTTCCCAAAGACTCAATGACTTAGAGGCCAAGTAGCCTCTGTAAAAATGAGGTGAGTAGTGACATTTCCATTAATAACTTTCAGGTTTTTATGTTTTAGACCAGACTACTAATTACAGCACTGGAAAGAGAATAACAGACTCCTGATTACAGAACTACAAAGAAAAGCAGCCAGGGGGTGGCGGTGGGGAGACTATACTTTATAATCAAAATAAATCTGAAAATACAGACTAAAGTCTGCCTCTAACTGGGAGTATGACAGCATCTTTTTGTCTCTCAATTTAATCTCTTTTTATTTCAACTGATTTTCCTTACAAGTACAACAGAACCGTCAACTGCAAAAGGTGTAAAGGCGTTCTGCGAACAAAAGCAAAGGGGACAAACCCAACCACCACAGCTCAGGTGTGAAGGGTACCATGTGTCTTTTGGAAAAGAGTGTCCACCGGGGGATGGGGGGAGATGGGCACTATGCCCTCTAGGAACTAGGATGCCCTTTATGAGTTCAAAAAAAGCCAAAAAAATAAAATAAAATTCATATAGATACCAAGATAGGTAATTAAATGTTGAATTAAAGGGTCAACACGAGAGCAGAGATTAGGCTGACTGCCAGGTGGTCAGAGTTGAAAGAGATAAAACACACATACACACAAACACACACGCAAACTCCTCCCAGAGTTAAAAAATAATAATAATAAAAAAGTCATTTGGGTCACCTTTTAAACCCATAGAGCAATCATTTCTAAAAGAAACAGCAGGTACAAAATTAACCTCAAGAAAAACTGTCATCTTTCAAAGCTGAATATTCTGATGCAGGTTTAAGAAGTCTTGCCCTCCCATCAAATAACCAAAGCTTTGGGAAAGGGCAGCACAGAGCTCTCCCTAATATGAAATTTTTTATCTATACATTAACTTCTAAAGAGACACTGACCCAAGCACCATACTGTTTAGAAGTAGAAGTCTTTATCCTAATGAATTGATCTCATCAATTTAGCTGCACATTTGATCCCAAGACCCTTTGTGGACCTGATAACCCTGGGGAGGCCCTTAAGTGAAGCTGTCCCTAGGGTGGCCCACTTCATCACAGTGACCAGCAGACAGGAAAGGGCCATTGGGGAGATTCTTATTTTATTATGTAAGTCAGAGGAAGTCACGTTTAGCTCCTCTGCTCTATTGCAGCATCCTTATTTCTACCGGGTACAACAAGCAGATGTAGAAAAGGAAGTCTGTCTGCATAAATGAAAACAAAAGGGCTAGCCACTCCCATCTGATGGTAGGTGGTCCTCCACAAGTACCTAACTACAAACACCCACAGTTTAGTTTCTCTCTCTTCTTCTCTCTCAAACCCATTTCTTTTGTTTTTTAGGAGTTTTGTTGTTGTTGTTGTTTTGTTAGCTTGTTTTTGAGACAGGGTCTTGCTCTCTTACCCAGGCCAGAGTATAGAGGCATGATCACAGCTCACCGTAGCCTCCAACTCCCGGGCTTAGGTGATCCTCCTGCCTCAGCCTCCCAAGTAGCTGGGACCACAGGTGGGCACCACCAAGTCCAGCTAATTTTTAAATTATTTGTAGAGATGGGGTCTCCTTATGTTGCCCAGGCTGGTCTCAAACTCCTGGGCTCAAGCAATCCACCCACCTCAGCCTCCCAAAGTGGTGGGATTATAGGTGTGAGCCACAGCGCCAACCCAAACTCATTTCAATTTACTTCCAAGGAATGGAAGAAGTGCAAAGGTCAGGTTCAGCAGCCCTATGGGAAAAGCACAGGCTTTAGAGGCAGACTTTGGGATCCTGGATCCCAGTTCCTAGGACCTGTGTGACCGTGAGCACGTATCTTAATTTCTGAGCCTTAGTTTCCTCACCTCTGAAAAGAGGACAATAATATCCACCTCACTAAGGTGGTGTGGGATAGTTGCTATGTTTGTTTTGTTTTTGTTTTTAAGCCTCTAAGACCAGAGGTTTTGTGAGTGCCGGATGACTTCATTTCTAACTCAGGCAAGCAGAAACCGGATATGAAACTGAAGAAGACTGACATCCACATATGGCCTAGGCATGAACAAATTCTGCTTGCTTGCATGCATGCATGGCTAGGATGCTAGCATTTCAAGGAGCCAGCTCCATGAGTTTATAGTCAAACTGGAGAACCATTCTATAGTGATGAGTACAGCACATTTCCACAGACATGCTCAACAGCTCTGCAAAATTCTCTCCCTAGTCTAGAATTCCTGAGTTGGCCAACTCTACACAGTTGTTCTGAATAAAACCCAAAGACTGCCAAGACCAGTCAAGGCCTTTTTTTTTTTTTTTTTTTTTTTTTTTTTTTTGAGACGTTGTCTCTGTTGCCAGGCTGGAATGCAATGGAGCAATCTCAGTTCATTGCAACTTCCGCCTCCTGGGTTCAAGCAGCTCTCCTGCCTCAGCCTCCTGAGTAGCTGGGATTACAGGCACGCACCACCACGCCCAGCTAATTTTTTTGTATTTTTAGTACAGACGGAGTTTCACCATGTTGGTCAGGCTAGTCTCAAACTCCTGACCTCGTGATCCACCCGCCTTGGCCTCCCAAAGTGCTGGGATTACAGGCGTGAGCCACCATGCCCGGCCCAATGTCTTTCTTTTTAAGGAACATAAAGTAACTCGAAAAACACCCAGAGAATTCATTCTAACATGAAATCAGTCTTGCTAATAAAGTTACTCCCTCTATCAAAATCTATACTCTTCTCAAGATATCTGTCAAAAATTGTAACTGCCGCAGACATACGGAAAAACTGGCCACACAGCAGCATAAACTCCCTCTGGCTAAAAAGTACATCAAAAGTCTTTTCATTTGGCTGAGAGCAGCGGCTCATGCCTATAATTCCCAGCACTTTGGGAGGCTGAGGCAGATGGATCACCTGAGGTTGGGAGTTCAGGACTAGCCTGGTCAACACGGTGAAACCCCGTCTCTACTAAAAATACAAAAATTAGCCCAGCATGGTGGCGCATGCCTGTAGTCCCAGCTACTCGGGAGGCTGAGGCACAAGAGCTGCTTGAACCCTGGAGGCGGAGGCTGCGGTGAGCCAAGATCACGCCACTGCATTCCAGCCTGGGTGACAGAGCAAGACTCCGTCTCAAAAAAGAAAGAAAAAAAATCTTTTCATTTAACTTCCAGGTCAGGGTGTCTTTATATCAATTTAATGCCAACCACAATACTAGCTACTGCTCTTCTTTGGGGAAGGGGAACTAAAGAAGGTGGCCTCCAACTGCTTTCTCTTTCCCTGTGCTGCTGCCTCCTTCCAACCTACAAAAAAGGGAAGAGTCTGACATTCAGAATTAACCTTGCAAAGAGATTCTGTTTGCTAGCCCACAGGCATTTTGTTTGTTTGATTTGTTTTTCTGCTGTTGTCACTGCTGTCACCTTCCTGACCAAGAGGCCCACAGACTAGCACTTTTTTAGATTCATTTCTGGCAGTGAGTGGATTTGTAAAGATTGCATTTGTAGTATCTGCTGGGTCCCAAAAGTGTGGAAGGACAAAAGACCATAGCCTTCTCTTAAATTCAGCTCAGAACCAACCCCATGCCTCAGCTGGAAAAATTACTTCCATTAACATTGCTCCCAAATGGAGCCCTTCCACCCTCTGCCCAGCTTCCAGCCCAGGCCCTGAGACCCACACTGCTGTTTGTTTTGGCACCTGCAAGCAGCTTGTTCACAAGCATCCAGACTACAGAGCAAGAGGAGTTTCAGAAGGGCCCTCCAAAAAGGGAGTGGCCTGGGAAGAAAGTGACAGGCAGGGTCTAATGTCCCACAGTAGCTTGTTTTCACTGCCACTTTGGCTTTACCTACCATGGCCAGAAGCTATTCAAACACTCTGCCCAATGCCCAGTCACAGGATCCTATTAAGTCTCTGGAATCAACAGAGTACCTACCCTGGTTCCCAGAAAGCCAAAAGCAAGTGTCAGTTTCTCCCTCTAGGCAGTCTCTAGATGTAAGGGTTCCTTTCACCCCGCCTAGAAGGGCCCCCAACCCTGAAAATAAGAAGCAACACTATGAAAACAAACTACCCATTTCTCAACTGTTCAAAGATTAGACCTTGTACCACCTCCTTGCTGGCTCTCAAAGAGTCCTCATCTAAAAATGGAAATAATAACACAACATGCCTTGCTGTGTCTTCTGAAGACCTCTGAAGGGCTGTGGATATGAACTAAGATAACATACACTTAGCATACTGCCTGGCACATAGTAAGCAATCGATAAATATTACTTAGTATTGATATGATTTTTATTATTCTAAGAATGAGTTTTAGTTATTATTAAAAGAGTAATCTTCCTAAAAGACATATTGTTCCAATCCAAGCCTAAAAGCTCCACAGTCAATTTTCAGTTTCTCATGCAAACACAAGGAACCAGTATGGCAAAAATCCTAAACAATAGATACTCTATAGGTTCTCATTTGGATTTTGAGTACATTATGTAATACACACATATATCCATCTATTCAATAAAGAGCTGTTTGGCACCAACAAATATATAGCACTGAACTAAGTATATGTGTGTATGGTACATGATACATGAATATACACATACATGTACACATATAATTAAAAGATACATTCATATATATATATATCTAGTTAGTACTTCTGAGCACCTACTATAGGCCAGACACTGTATCAGGAGACACTGGAGATACACAGATAACTAAGAGAAGGGCCCTGCCATCCAAAAGCTTATAGTCTAATAGAAGAATTATGATAACAGGTGCTAAGATAAAATTCCCATAGCAATCAGTGGATGCAAAAAGGAGAGAAATATACAGGTGATACTTTCTTAACTGACTTGCCAACTTATGTGACATACTTCAACTACTCTTCAAAATAAACTGGCTAAGTTGCATAGCACACTGGAGGCTGATTGTGTATTACTCACATTTACTCCCACCAGCCAGGTTGGCTGCTTCAGGGTCAGTAGTTAGTTCATAATAGGTATACTTGTTATTTTAATTACATATTAAATTATTATATAAAACAAACCAGTGAAATGTCAGTGTAAAAAAAGATATTCCTATGAAAAAGAGGTTGAATACTTGGAAAAAACTTGAAGGCAAGTTGGTAAAAAAAAAAAATGCTGCTGAATTAGATATGGGCAAGACAATAGTAAAAGGTTGTAGTAGCGGAGCTTAAAAATCTGGAAGAATTCTGTCCTTCATTTCTCAAATGTATTTAAGAACTTGGTTCACTTAAACTGAAACTGGAAAATCACAGATCAAATGTTAAAT